TTACTACCTTAGAATCACTTCCATATATCCAGTCTTTTCCATTTCACACTTACGGTGTTGACAAGATAATTATCACAGAATAGCTTCTTGAAGCATGAAACTAGTTTTTAATCTGTCAAATGCTCTATTTTTTTTAAATTAGAGACTTGTACATATGTACACAGGAAGCTGATTTTTTTTATTGCTGAAGAACTAGGATTATTTCCATTTGGGGACAGTGTGATGAAAGGTGACTGGAGATAAAATCTCCTGGTTCAATTACTTTAAGCGAATTGGGAATGGGTTCAAAATAGAGAGCCAGGCTGATTTTCTGAACATTTCATGAATTCAAAATGCATTCCTCCTTTCATTTCCCTTCAAATGATTTCCTGTTTCCTGCTCCCCACCCCCACCCCATCACACCAGAGTTGCTGAGGTACTTGTCACTCCTTTCAGATGGCGCTCGTGTTCAGTTAGGCTATGGACAGCATCAGAAGCGAGTCTGATTCTTGCCACATAGCCAAATGCAGTTGCCATTATCAGCAGGTCAGGAGCCAGTGATCATTTGAGGAGACAGTGGCTGATTCTGTCCTTTACCAACCTGATCACCCTGTAACCAAATCGAGTTGCCCCAGTGCTGGGCTTTTTTTTTCATTCACAGGATGTGAATATCACTAGTCAGGCCAGCATTTATTGCCCATCTCGAATTGCATTAAGTGATATCCACATGGATTTGGGTCTGGAGTCATTTTCTCCAGACCAGGTAAGGATGATAGTCAATATTGAGTTCAATAATTTTAGGGCCTAAACTCTCCCATATCCCAGCCCCCCACCCCACACACCAAGCCTTGTTACCACATAGCCTGCCATTACACACCCCCAGTTAGTCACTAACAATCCCCATTAACAACTACTGACCCTCCCAGCCTGATCGTTAGCAACTCCTTTGTCTGTCCAACTGTCTTTCTCTCTCTTTGGGCTCTATCCTATCGTTTACTCCCTACCCCACCTACCTCCCTATTTTCTGCATATAAACTGACCGTTTCCCAGCCACCATCAGTTCTGAGGAAGGGTCACCGGACGCGAAACGTTAACTCTGTTTTCTCCTTCACAGATGCTGCCAGACCTGCTGAGCTTTTCCAGCAACTTTGTTTTTGTTCCTGATTTCCAGCATCCGCAATTCTTTTGGTTTTTATTAAGGATGGCGGTTTCCTTCCCGAAAGGACGTTAGCAAACCAGGTGGGTTTCTTCCTGGCAATTGACAATGGATTCATTATCGTCGTTAGGTTCCTTATTCAAGATATTTATTGAATTCAAATTCCACTATCTGCCACAGCCGGATTCAAACCAGACCCCCAAAACATTACTTCTGTCTCTGGATTAATAGTCTGGCGATAATACCACGAGACCATCACCTCGCCTGGGAAACTGAATCAACCCTTGAAGGAACACAGCTAGAAATCAATATCATACCAAGCAATTGAACTACCTCCTAAGCCATGAGGGAAAGGAGTCCAACTTCTTTCCAAAAAAAAAACCTCACCAGCAGTCTCCACCCCTGATATTCATGAATCAAAATAGTTTACTTGTGCAGCTAACAATCTATCTCTGCAGTTGTTTAAATGTACAACTTGGTCATGACTTACATCTGTTTAGACTAGTAGGGTTGTAAAATTTACTGCTCAAGTATATTTTTTCCTTATTAGGTCATAGTAGGACTGATAATGATACTGGAATTATCCAACATAGCACTGCAACTGATTCCCCATCCCTAGTACTTGTTCTGAAGGCATTGGATTGGAATCTTTCAATGTAGTCATCCATGTTCTCTTTTTAAACAATGTGCTTGGTTTTAATTCAGCCATGGATTATTACAAGTTAAAACACTGTTTAAAGCAATAGTGCACTAGAAAGCATTTATCTGTGTATACATCAACAGTGCAATTAGTTTATATATTTTGCAGCAGTTAGCATAAAACAAACTCCAAACCCATCAGTTTGCAGTTTAAGAGATTTAGGTGTAAGCTGTGGGTTAATACAGGTAGTATTCACACCAGTGAGTGAAAAGGTTGCTTACATTAATATTTAAACACAGTTTTAAAATGTACTACATCAGCTGGAAAGTGCTTTGGAAAATTGCTGACGTTAGGAAAGTTGCTAAATAAAAAGAAATTCCCACTTAATAATGAGCAGAAGGAATGGGTTTTGAAAACAGAGCTGGAATGGCTGAGGGGAGGGAATTCCAAAGGATAGGAACCTACCAGCCAAGTTGTGGAATGGGGAAGAGAGATGAGTGAGAATCTGGAATCAGAGCAATGCAATGTACAAGGGAGCTTGAGGAAATTTAGGGCAGGAGAAAATTGCTGATGTGAGGGCATGGAATAATTTAAAGGTAAGTTGGAGAATTTTAAAATTCACTGTTTAGATATATCTATTTATGGGCCTTGATGAAGGAAAAGAGTATTGTCTATCATGGTTTGGAAATCCAAGTTTTATAGAGGGGAATAAGGAGATAAAGAGACAAAACATAGAATAAATTAATGAGTCAAATATGAGTTCATTCGCTCTAAATACAAGAAAGGCTCTTAATAATGAGAGACTACAAACTGTGAAAGAACAAGGGGGTTTAGGAATGCAAGAACACAAACTGCTAAAGCTGGTCCACAGGACCAAAAGAAAATCAAAAAGACGAATAGTTTTTTATATGTTAAAGGGTACAGGGAGGAAGTTATGTTTCAGTTGCATGAAGCCTTGGCTTGATCCATCTGAATGATTGTGGTCAGTTTTGTCCACTATTTATCAGGAACAATGATTTTAGTCTGGGAGAGTACACATTTACCAAAATGATAGCAGCAGAGGTTACAGGAATAAACCATGAGGGCAGGTTATGTAAACGTGGTTTACTGTCATTGTCAGCTCCCCCTGACTTCAAGGAAGATGTCTACCTGAGGTTGTGAGTTTCTGGCACAGAACTTCATGTGACTGAACAGGCTGATTTTCAACCTACAGATCTTTGGACACATGAAATTCTCAGAGACACTTGGATAGTGAAAGCTGGCTGATAGTATGCTTTTGAATAGTGACCTGGCATGCATGCTTTTCTCACTAAAGTCTGGTAAGTTTTTCTCTGCAGGTTTACGAATTGGTTAAAACTAACACAAAGGAAAATACTAATTAGCACCAAGAAGCACTGAGCTGTAACACTATTGATTTGCAGTTTGGCAACATCTGTTGAACTCCTGTTGTTTTTATAAGTACTTTATTCAGCAGGATAAGAGTTTATATGAATTAGAAACAAGAAAACATCGTCATGTTATGCAATGCACTAAGAACGTGGTTATTCCAAGCCTTACAAAGCATTTCCTCCCCCTTTCTGCAGCAAGACTTCTTGAATTCAGTGAGGCGTCTTCATCTCATTCTAATTGTGTAACGATCCATTTAAGACTTGCAATAATCACTCTGTTGGTGTAGCTTCAAAGATGAAACCAGAACTATATATAAACAGATTGAGTAGCGTACAGTGAAGGTCAGTGCTGCTGCACTTCAAAGAGCTCCAGTGTCTTCTGAAGCATTTTTCTTTGAACTCCCCAGAATATCGACCATTTGCGAATAAAAAGAACAGGAGCTAGTGGAAGCAGATTTCAGCCATCCAGACATACTGCCCCATTCATTGAAATTGATTTTACATCAATTGCCTGAATTTTAAAGACCTGCCTTCAAGAAAGAAAGTGGTGCTTGTTGGTCTTCCCCTTAAATCAGGTTTGAATCCCATTTTAATTTAGACAGATCTGAGATATCCAATCAAGGTGCTTTAGATAATAAAAGTTTTTGATAAAGTAGATACAGAGGAACCTATTGACACTGGTCAGGAAAGCTTAAGGAAAGGGCTTTTTCTTAAAATTAGAGCTACATCATTCAGACAAAATCCAGATACATATTTGCACGCAGTGCAGTGCAAGTCTGCAATTCCAAGGCTGTGGCTATCATTCCAGCAATTTTCAAGATGGATCTATAGGTAAAGATATCAAGAAATGTGGATCTAAAGTGGGTAACCATGGTGAGGTACTCAGGTCAACCATGACTAAACTGAACAGTAGAAAAGATCCAGTGGGATGAATGGCCTACTCCAATCAGCTGAAATTCATTCACCATTCAGGATGAGTGACTCCTCATTTAGGATAACCTGACACCCACAAAACTATCATGCAGGAACAATAGTGGTCAAGTTGCTGGGTTCAACCAGCTCACTGTACGCTACTCAATCTGTTTATATATAGTTCTGGTTTCATCTTTGAAGCTACACCAACAGAGTGATTATTGCAAGTCTTAAATGGATCGTTACACAATTAAAATGAGATGAAGATGCCTTACTGAATTCAAGAAGTCTTGCTGCAGAAAGGGGGAGGAAATGCTTTGTAAGGCTTGGAATAACCACGTTCTTAGTGCATTGCATAACATGACGATGTTTTCTTGTTTCTAATTCATATAAACTCTTATCCTGCTGAATAAAGTACTTATAAAAACAACAGGAGTTCAACAGATGTTGCCAAACTGCAAATCAATAGTGTTACAGCTCAGTGCTTCTTGGTGCTAATTAGTATTTTCCTTTGTGTTAGTTTTAACCAATTCGTAAACCTGCAGAGAAAAACTTACCAGACTTTAGTTGAGAAAAGCATGCATGCCAGGTCACTATTCAAAAGCATACTATCAGCCAGCTTTCACTATCCAAGTGTCTCTGAGAATTTCATAAACATGGCTCAGATTTTATACATTAGCATCCTAATTATTTTAACACCTTACGAATGAAATAGCAACATCTGTTTGTCCTATTTTTGTATCTTCAATGTACGACAAATTTAGACAACTAGGAATGGGATCATTCCCTGTGTAAATCCAAGAGTTGGTATTTTGCAGATTGTGTCTAGTTTTCACTCGATTCCATGGTGACCATGATATTAACTAAAGTGTGGCCATGAATAAACAGTGTTGATGGTTGCTTTTTCTGTCTTCTTCTGATGCAGGAAATCAATATTGAACTGTTGACCCTGCAGTAGAGTGTTCCCTGCATACCACCTTTTTGCATCCAATTTGCTTCACTCTAAAGGATGAAACTATGGGTCTGAAACAATCCTGTTTGGGCGGTAAGCTCATTTCCGTGTGTTCTCACCCCTCGCATCAACAAACAAGCTTCTTATTCTGCTCTTGTTCTATCTCTACCAACACTAACTTCTTACTGCTGCTATGTATGGGTTATTCCCGAGTCACAACAACTTTTTCTCACTCTCTGGTGCCTAGTATTCTGGTTCCCACTTCTCAATTATTTCAATGTGGCTTTTTTTTTTGATGCATATTAAACATTAATTGTTAGGTTTCTCTCCTCCACACCTCACATCCCTGTGGGCGTAGTTACCCTGTGTGCACCTCAGTGGTTCAAGAAAGTGGCTCACCACCTCTTTCTCATGGGCCACCTATGGATGGGCAATAAATGCTGGCTATCCAGCAACACCCACATTGTGGGAAGGGTTAAACAAATCAAAATGCAAGTATTCTCCCGCTTCTTCCTCACGTTCAGCGCTCTGCAAACAAAATTGGCTTTGATATTTTTGCTCAAGATTTCACCTGCATTCAGTGCTGGATATAATGCCAGCAGTCACCGTTCCTTCCTAATTGAACCATGTGTCAAACAGGAAATGATTTTCTTTTCTTGGGTTACACAGAAGAAGTGGCATGTTTCCATGCAGCTGTCAGCCCTGTACATAGTCAAAAATCAGTGTAATTCTCTTACATCGCTGATTTGTTTTTCTATTAATCCTCCCCCTTTCTTTTCCTCTCTAGGCTGCAGATTATGTTTGCAAGGTGAATGTGATAGAAGCCGCAGTTCAGTGGAGAGTCATCTCCAAGTCCCTGATATCATAATAACGCCTCCAACACCCACGGTTCTCTCAACACCCGGCAGCTTGAAACAGGCTGACAGGGACTCGCTGCTAGATGACACTCTCCCAAACAGATGTTAGCTGCAAAAAAGCCCTGATATTTATGCAAAAGCCCAAGCACCAAGATCACATCAAGAATGTTTCTTGTTTGAAGAAGCGTTAAGAACAGATTGCACAGCAACCATCTGCCTCATTTCACTTGGTGTGTGAATGATAAACTATACACAGATTTATCTACCAATCTGTTTTTTTTTAAAACTTTTAAAACAAGTTTTGATGACAATAGCAATATAGAGTTTGGATTAAAAACTTAAAACATCTGCAAAAAATTACTGTCTGCCATGTTTAACTGCTTTGCACTGTCTCTTAACTCTCCTGCTTTCTGTTGTGTCTTCACACACTATGAGAAAAGCCCCTTTCAAAAATACCATTCGAAGATTAAAAGTGCAAATTTTTGCAGTTGCCCTTTTAACTAAAGAGGAATTCTGCACCAATTACACACACAAATAGTCCAATCTCAAACTCCCAAATTACATCCTGGTATCTTGTTCCAACTTCATAGAACAAGCTCCAGAGACAACCAAAGATGTTTTCAATAACGCAGTGAGATTATCAACATGCAAAGATTATCAAGGATCTGTAAATGAAGACCAGATGGAGTGTCATTTCATCCTGATACTGTTGATGCCTAAAGGAATTTTTAATGGAGAGGCAGGCAGATGGAAATTCTTAATTCATGATGACAGCCAACAGATGGCAAAAGGCATTATCTACAACTGCATGATTCCAGAGACAGATTCTTTAAAAATGTCAGCAACCAAATGGAAAACAGTGCCTTTCAATTCACACTGCCTCCCCTATCCATCAGAAATGGAAATCCGATCGCATTTTTTAGGTCAATGAGAACTAGACTTGAGCTCTAGTGCTACACACCAGTAAATATGAAGTTAGCCATGCTCAGAGGCAAATGTGAAGACCCATTGCAATCTAACCTGAATTGGGAACAATACCGGGATCGAAGGGATAATTTTGTGGAGAAGGCAATTTGTGGAGTTAGAACTCACGCTTTTAAAATCTCTGCATTTTTAAGATTGAAACTATGTTCCTTCTGTAGTATTTCTTAAGGATTTTCAAAAATGTCCTGAGTTGCAAATGCAGTGGGCCGAGGTATGGTACTAAATCACACTGAGTAGGAAGATCCTCTGTTGCTGTCCCTGGTCTTAGTCTGAGCAATTTGGGTGTCAGCCATAATTCAGGTGGTACTCTCTTGCTGCAGCATGCAGGATTGTTAGTTCAAATTCCACTCCAGAAATTGACCTCAAATTTAGGTTGGCACTGCACTGCAACACTGTGGGAGTGCTGCATTGTCAGAGGTGCAGTTTTCGGGTGAGACATTAAGCCAAAGCCTGGTTTGCCCTCCTCAGGTGCATTGCATAAGCTCCCAGGGCACTATTGTGAAGAGGCAGAGGGAGATATCCCCATGTCCTGGCCTATATTGATGTTACAAATAGAATATAGATTATTTGGTCATTACCACATTGCTGTTCTGTGCACAATTTGGCTGCCATGTTTCTTACAGTAAACAGTGGCCAACTCTTCAAAATTACTTAACTGCTAGAAATATATTTTGGATTACATATATTTGTTTCTTTTTTATACATATGGAGGTTTGGTTTTTTTCCTGCTACAATTGGAATCAGTGCCTCTCAGTCAAAAGGGGAAAGAATATCAGCCTGAGTTACTGTTTGATACTCTCTGAGTGATGTGGGTAGACGGGGATAGGATAATGTCAGGATCAGATTCACCTGAGATGCCTACCATGATTGAATTGCCTGCTGTAAGTGACTATCCAGACTTGAGCAGAAAGGATGCTCATTTCATTGTGCTGAGGTACTGTGGCTCAGAAAGCATTACTTTAAAGTGACAGGTGGAAATTTTTAAAAATTCCACTCTCTTCACAATCACACTGGCTCATTCAGTCTGCCCCCTCTTTTTTAAAATTGGATTGTTATCGCTTTATTGACGAAGTATGCACCTTAAATTTGATTTGAAGAAATTTCTATGTGGTATCATTAAAACAAATGTAACAACTTCAGCTTTTCCTCAACAGTTTGAGTGTTAATGGGATTTATGTTAGCATATTAAGAACCTCTTAATGAAATGGCTTCATGTTACACTGATAGGTGCCAGCTACATTACAGCAACTGCCTCACAATGCACAAACTGCATGTGGTGGACAGGATTGGATTTAACTGTGATACCTCCTAGATTGAAACCAGTTGTTTAGTCTGACATGAAAAATAGCTATTTAAGTGGATGCATGGCACTTCCAGGAGACAAAGGCACGAAATGGGAACTGTTCTTTAAATCAGACCATGATCCAATGCTATAAATGAAGGTAGCTATCCAATACATTTCCTCCCATGTGCTTTACAAAATCATGATATTTGTATACTGTGCCATTAACTGAGTGTACTTTTCAACTGTTCCTGTGAGTGATTCATTTCCTGATCTGACATTGCAAATTGTTTATGGTTTTTGTAATGATGGATAGCATCAATGTTGTAATAAAGGCAACAGCGCTTCTTTTTAACTGCTACTTTAATTTAACCTCAACATTGGAAAAATAATCAGCTTGGTATCCTCTGCAGTCTTCCTCAATGTACCACATTTGCCCTGTTGCTGGAAAAGTGCAGAAACCAAGCCATCACAATTAAGAGCTTTACCCTCTGATTACTCTGATGAGCAAATTGCTTTATTTATTTGTGTTTTGCCTTCAGCATTGTATCAATTGCTAGTTAAAACTGCAGAGAACTAGAATGAGTACTTGTTTGTTTTCTTGACTTGTGTTGAACTACCCTGCGGAGATGGTAGAGTGCAACAGTTGGCCCCAGTGTTCTGGTATGTGGGAGGGAAGAGGGGAAAAGGATCAGCCAGTTGGATTCTGGTGTAAAGCAGACCTAGCTGGTTCTCAGGTGACTATTTAATTAGGGTCAGTTCTGATGCCCACCATGGTTGAATTTCTCACTAACATTCAACAGCTTGCTTCATGCAGGAAGATTGAAAGAATAATACAAGAAACAGCAGCAGGGGTAGAATGTATGGCTCCTTGAGACTGCGCCGACATTCAGTAATGATGATAGCTAATCATCTACCTCAACTCCATTTCCCTGCCTGCTCCCTATATCCCTTGATTCACTGAGAGATCAAAAACCTGCCTATTCCATACTGAAGTATATTCAGTGATGGTGTATCCGCAACCTTCTGGGCAGAAAGTTCCAAAGATTTATAATTCGTCAATGAAATGCTTGGCCTTTCTCTTTACTGAATTGGCACAGATCCATTAAGGGCCACAGTCATGGGAATATTTCTACGGAGGGTCAGCTGTGTTTAAAATACAGTTGCCTAACATCCTTCTGAGGTTAAGCTTAGCATTCTTGGGTCAAAACGTGTAATTGCTTTGTGGAAAAAAATTAATGTTATTTTTCTATACATGAATCCTCGGAATTTGTTTTGGAAGATTTCATCCTCTGTGTACCTAAGAGCTTTGCACAGAGACTAATGCATTCTTTATGATTAGAATAAAATATAACTCAAATGATTTAATTCTGTAACTGCATGAGAATACGTTTCTTATGTTTGCTATTCAGTCCGAGATTGCAATTGTGGTGCAAATTGTGGAGCAGAAGCCTATTGCACAATATTTTAACAATAAAGGAGGAGCTTTTTTGTCAAAGTGAAGTGATTTCAGAGGATGTTGATGAGAAAATAGAAGAATAATTTGCATCCGTAATCTTAAACATGGACCACACAGCCAACGGGTGGGAGATATCTTCACACAGATGCATCTAAGTTTGCACCTGGCATGTGCAAAGTGGTTGGATCTCCTGCAAACTTTCATCTAGAGTCCTTCTAGGCAGACTGGCCCTCTCCTAATGTTATAGGATAGTTGCCAGGAGACAGGAACAATGCAGCTGCGCAGAGAAATGTGGCCGCGGTGTTCCATTATCATTGAAATCTGTTTGGAATATAACGTGCAGCAACCAATTATGTCTCATACAATTCCAACAATAAATCATGCATTTACCACAGTGAAATATTCCAATTTGCTTCACAGGACCTGTGGTCAGGTAATCACAGGGAAAAAGTTGACATCAGACCAAAGAAGAAGAAATCAACAGCGACCAAAAGAGATTTTTAAGAGTGTCTTAAAGGGGGAGGGTTAGCAGACAGCTTTAGAAAAAGAGTATATCATTAAGGAAGTACTGTACTATGCTCATTCAAACAGCTATTGCACACACATGGGGCTGAATAGCCTCTTTCTTGATGTGATAATACTGTAAGGATATAACTGGGCACTTAGAACACTAAAATATGATAAAGCAGAGCCAACAAAGCTTTTTAAAAGGAAAATCATATTTGACAAGTTTATCAGACTTTTTTCAGGAGATAACTTAGAAACATAGAATATAGGAGTAGACCATTTGGTCATTCAAGCCATTCAAATGATCATGGCTAATCATCCTGCTCATTACTCTCAGAAGGGTACATAAAGATAGACCAGTAGATGTAACATATGTAGATTTTCAAAAAGCATTCAATAAGTTGCAGCATTAAAGACTGTTGCACAAGATTAGGGCTCATCAGGTTGAGGGTAATACATTAGCATGCTTAATGGGCAGGAAGCAAAGAGGAGAATCAAGTGGTCATTTTCACATTGGGGAGGCAATGGCCTAGTGGTATTATCACTGGACTGTTAATCCAGAGACCTGGATAACATTCTGGGGACCTGGGTTTGAATCCCGCCATGGCAGATGGTGGAATTTGAATTCAATAAAAATATCTGGAATTAAGAATCTAACGATGGCCATGAATCCATTGCTGATTGTCAGGGAAAAACCCATCTGGTTCACTAATGTCCTATAGGGAAGGAAATCTGCCAATCTTACCTGGTCTGGCCTACATGTGACTCCAGACCCACAGCATTGTGGTTGACTCTTAACTGTCCTCTGGGCAATTAGAGATGGGCAATAAATGCTGCCTAGCCAGTTACGCCCTCATCCTGTTAACGAATAAAGAAAAAAAATTAGCTGGTTCCTACTGGTAGGCTGCCACAAGGATCTGGACTGGCACCTCAGCTATTTATGTTCTGTTTATTGACTTAGATAAACAGCCAGAGGATAATGTGTCAAGGTTTGCTGATGATACAAAGCTAGGTACAAAGTTAAGGCTGTGAGGAGGACACAGAGTCTGCAGAAACATGTAGACAGATAACGTCAGTGGATAAGAAAGTGGTAGTTTTTTAAAATTCATTCAGGAATTGTTGATGCCATTGTCTGTCCTTAGTTGCTTTTGAGAAAATGGTAATGAGCTGCCTTTTTGTACTACTGCAGTCCCTTGTTGTAGGTACACCGACAATGCTGTTAGAGAAGGAGTTCCAAGATTTTGATCTAGTGACACTGAAGGAACGGCAAAATATTTCCAAGTCAGGATGGTGAGTAAATTGAAGGGGAGCTTACAGGTGGTGGTGTTCTCACACATCTGTGGCCCTTGCCCTTCTTGATGGTAGTGGTCATGGTTTTAGAAGGCGCTGACTAAACACAAAATATAATGTGGGGAAACTTGAGGTTTTTATTTTGGTATAAAGAATAGCAAACTTTTTTTTTAAATAGTGAGGAACTATTACACGTTGGTGTTATTAGGGATTTGGGTGTCCTTGTACACAAAGCACAGAAAGTAGATCTGATGGTACAATGGTATGCTGACCTTTATCATAGAGGGTTTGAGCACAAGAATAAGGAAATTTTGCTTCAAACCTACAGGGCTTTGGTGACATTAGACCAGAGTGGAATGAGCCTGAACACTCTAACATTTAGGAGAATGACAGGGTGCCATCCATTAGATGAGACATTTAAACAAGGTCCCACCTTCACTCTCAGGTGAACATTACAAATTCCATGGTGCAAGTTCAAGGAGAGTAGGGAAGATCTCTCCTGTAGCCTGGCTAATGTTTATCCTCAATCACCATCACAAGAATAGATTAATTATCTGGTTATTATGAGATTGCTGTTTATGGGAGTTTACTGCCTGGGGATTGGTACCATGTGACCTACTACTGTACTGGAGTCTCAGTCAAGATTGTTCTGTTTGAGTTCTGGAGTGGGACTTTAACCTACAAGGACCTGACTCAGCAGTGAAAGTGCTAACAACTGAAAAAGGAGATCTTAGGACAGGGTTGATCTTAGAGAGATAGTAAAGGAGTGTTAAACTAACCCACAGAGTTCATCAATTCCTGATGAGCAATTAGTCATTAGATCACTATCATTACAATCACATGGAGGCATTTAGTAATACAGAACTTCACAATTGCTGAAAAAAGACAGATTTTGTCAAAACTGTGCAGTTTGCACTTATCATGACATTTCACAAGAATACAAATTCAAGGGCAAAACAGCGTATATTCCGTGTGTAATTTGAGATTTAAACACATGTACAACCCAAAGATCATGAAGCATGGATTCTTTATTTCACTGGTACCGAGTCATCACAAACAGGAAGGTAAGATGAGGAGAAACAGGGACCTACTTACACCACTTGCGGGGGACAACTGGGTTACACTGGGCTGAGGAATTCCTCCTGTCTGTCTGTTCCCCCCTTCTATCAGCCAACTATCTACAATGGCACTCTTCCTTCTCCAATGAGAATCCATTCAACTGCTCCAGCTGTCCTTCCCCATTGTTGCCACCTGGTGTTGGAGGACCTGCCAAACTGCTCAGCTCCCTTGCAATTAATTGACATGTTCAGAGATGTTATTACACACCTTTTAGCAGGTGGGACTTGAACCCATGCCTCTTGGTCCAGAGGTAGGAGCACAACTACAGTGCCACAAGAGCGCTCTCAACTCCCTTGCTCAGCACCTTCCATCATGATTGCCACCTGCTATGTGCATGTGGAATGGATCTAAGCACAAAATCATGTTCACAGGTTGACAAAGCTTACAGGTCCTGGGTACTAACTCAAAGACTGACACAATCACGAGAACATCCAAACAAAGAAAACATATGGCCTTCTGTTTGCACCAAGGAAATGACCAGCTTTCAACCAATTTTTCAGGGTATGTGGCAGAAAAGGTGGCACAGGCAGTGCTTCGGAGCAAAGACAGATGCAGCTAGAAAGAACCTAACACTAACACAAACAGACTGAGCACAAGGAGTATTTTCATGCTAAACCTGCGAGACATATGTACATAAAGTCATCAACAAACCAAAATCTAATGATGTGCATCACAAAACAAGCGATGAATGCATGTTTCACACTGTCAGTCTTGTGGAAAATATGTTCCTGTCAGCATCACACCATCTGAAGTGTTTGCAGAAAATAATTGCCTAAAGACAATTCAGTAGCAATTACCAAAAAGCTACCTTTGTGAAATCTAAAATACATGTACCCATAGGCATGGGAAGCCATGATGGAACGTACAAATGTAAAACTTCCAGCATTCTACAGCTCAGCAATTCCAAAAGACCACAAGTGATAACAGGAGAATGATGCCATTCAGCCCACTGAGTCAGCTCTGCCATTCCATCATGACTA